CTTAGGAGATCTTATGGGGTACCAGGAATTGAATCCAGGTCAGCTGTGTGCAAGGCAAATGCCCTACCCGCTGTACTACCATTCTGGCCTGAATTTATCATTCTAAAACTATCTTAACAAGATTAAAAAATATTATCTTTTGAAACTGATAATCAAAAATGGAGAGCTTGTGAAATGTTGAAAGCTTCTAAATCTCTATCAACATTCATTATCTTTGGGTTCTTGCTTCTTCTCAGTTATCTACCCGCCTTCCTGCGGAGTTTCTTTTGTTGGCTCCCAAAAGAAGATTCCAATAGAAAGAACTAGCTCTATGCTCCAATCTTTGAAAAACTATCTCTCTGCACAGAACCTCCTCCTTGGCGGTGTTTGGAACGTTTGAGGATGGATGTGGTTCCTGTCTGCACATGGTTTACATTATTTTACCAGGATGCAATGTATACAAAAGGCACAGTTTTTCCAAGGCAACTCTCATCCCCTTCTGAAAGCAATAAATTAGGATCTTACTTGGGGAGAATCCAGGAATCTACAACACTTTGAACTAGATTGCCCAGGTGATTCTTTAGCACTGTAATGTCTGAAAGTTGGGGAGATGGCTCAAAGGGGAGGGTGCATGCTTTGCAAGTGGAAGTTTGATCCCTGGCACCACATGGTTCCCTCAGCACCACTGGGTGTGGTCCCCTGTCTGAGAAATAATGACGAAGGGCCTTGGCTCGGGCTGAGAAAGGTCATTTCAGAGCCCTAATCATCAGCATCTGTGCAGCTTAGGAAATGACCTCCCTCTTCCTGGGACTTGTAGCTCCACAGATGCCATTCATTAAATGAAATTATATGCTTAATAAACACATAAAGATGTAAAGGAAATAGTCAGGCCCAAGTTGTTGCTCTGTCATTGAAGTTGGATGATGTTTCTTTGGTAAGCTAAACTGAAACATGGCATATCTGTTACATTGAGTTTTGCATGAAATGATGATTTTCAAATATGTATTAAAAGTCAAGTTACAGAAAGTCATCTTATATCCCTAAATGTTCTGAATCCAGGCATTTAACCTTTAGGTCCCTGTAACCTGTCCTAAAGTCGAGAATCCAAACTTGAGAAAAACAAGGCCAGATGTCTTCCCCTGTATGTACTTAGGATACTTGGCCCTCCTTGCAATAAACCAGGAAACCCAAGTCCATGAGGAAGAATCAGATCCCAGCTACAGCATGGTCTTGTTTGTGGAGCAAATGAAAAATCATTACATGTTTTATTATACTTCAGCATCTATTTACAACTCTCGAGTCATTCTGAGTTTTCATTTTCCTTTGAAATGAAAAATCCTGTAATAAAAATTAATAAGAGGAATACTGTGTTAGAGGATAGCAATGGAACTATTTTTAAAAATACAATAAATTATAGCTTTGCTGTTCTTGAAGATTCATTCAATATGCACCCTTTCAAAAGAAAAATAAGGATCTAGGCAAAGGTCTAGGCTTTTGAGACAAAAGCAGTAAATAGAACAAAGCAAGCATCCTGATTCTTACAGGAACTTTTTGTTGTTGTTTTGGTTTGGGGACCACATCTGACAATGCTCAGGGTACCTATTCCTGGTGGTGCTTGGGGAACTATGAAGTTCTGGGGATCAACCAGGGCCTCTGGTCTATAAAGGTCCCAGCCTATTAAGTTATCTCTCCAGCTCCCTCCTGGAGCTTTTTATCTAGATAGGAAGGAAGGCGCTTTTTTTAATTAATTTTTTTAATGAGGCATCATAGTTTATAATGCTATTGAATTCCTTTTATAGTTGCTGAGCTACTCCACCCCTCCCTCCACCAGTGTTTCAAGATCCCTCCACCATTATGCCAAGGTCAGATGGGAAGCAGATGAAAAAAGGTGATATTGCATCCAGGGGATGTAGCAGATGCCCCTTCTTCACAAGCTTGAGGCTGAGTCCTGGGCCAGTGCCAGCAGCTCTGCTGTCTTCGACCCCCAGTGCCACAATCAAGTATGAGATCTCCAGCACACAGCCAGTGAGTGTGAGCACCACCGCTAAAGTGTGCAACTCCCAGAGGGCACCCCACTAATGTGTGAGCACCCTGGGCAGGAGGACAAACTCCCAGCGAGCACAAGCGCTAAGGGAGTGCACCCTCCAGCGAGCACTGTGTAAGCACCATAATCAAGTGAGCACAGCTCCCGCTCATAGCAACCAGAGCACCAAAGGGAAACGTTGATATTATAGACTGTCCTCACATAGGGCTGGAGCGATAGCACAGCAGGTAGGGCGTTTGCCTTGCACACGGCGGACGCGGGTTCAATTCCTCCGTCTCTCTCGGAGAGCCCAGCAAGCTACCGAAAGTATCCCGCATAGCAGAGCCTGGCGAGCTCCCCGTGGTGTATTTAATATGCCAAAAACAGTAACAAGTCTCACAACGGAGACGTTACTGATGCCCACTCAAGCAAATCAATGAACAACGGGAGGACAGTGCAGTGCTATAGTCCTTACATAATGAGAGTTTTGAAGGAAACAAAGACTGAGGAGTGGTGAGTGGTCCGTTTTTCTTTGGAGGGGGAGGGTGTTAACTATTTTTAGTTGGGGTAGTCAGGAGTGGTTAAGGTGACATTTGAGCTGAGACCCGCAGGAAGTGAGAACGTGAGGCCAACAGAAAAAAAGACGGGGGGTGTCTGTCTGTTCAACCCAGGAATCAGCCCTGAGGCAGAAGAAGTAGATCAGTGTTTGATTAGCCAGACAGCTGGCCTGCCAATGTGTGGAGTGTGCATGGGGAAAGGTGACCAAACATGAAATCAGAAAGGTGTCAGGGAAGGCCTGTTTCCATAGGACCTTGTGCAGTTAAGGGTTTGCTCCACACTGGAGGGTTTTAGCAGAGAAATGATCTGATCTTTGTAGATACAGACCTAAGCAGAGAGGCTGCTTAGGAATGCAGGTGAGAAGTGAGGACGGGAGACTCGGACAGTGTCTTGGAAGGACATGATCCTTTCTGCTTCCTCTTACGTGTCAAAGTATTGTATGAGAAAATATTTCTCAATGAAGAAATGGTCTGGTGCAAGTCCAAGTTTGCCGAGACTTCTCTCGGCTCAGGTGTACCTCTGCCCTGCCCCGTCATGGTCTTCTTTAGCCCTGCCAAGAGAAAAGTTCCCACGCTGGGGTCATAGTCTTTCCCGGCACCCAAGATTCTGTCCTTGCCAGGTGTAATGTCCTCACTCCCAACACTTTCACTGGGAAGATTCCAGTCACCTCTCTGGTCTCTGTTCTTAAGCTTTTTGTTTATTTGTTTGTTTGCTTGCTTGCTTGCTTTTTGGGTCACACCCGGCGATACTCAGGGTTACTCCTGGCTTTGCACTCAGGAATTACTCCTGGCAGTGCTTGAGGGACCATATGGGATGCTGCGAATCGAACCCGGGTTGGCCCCATGCAAGGCAAATGCCCTACCCAATCTACTACCATTCCAGCCCTCTGTTCCTTAAACTTTTAAAGGCAGAATGTCCTTATTTTGGGGGTGAAACAGGTGTGAGCACATCGCTATTAAAAAGGAGAGAGAACTCCTAAATCTGATGGCAAGCTATAGGAAAAATCTTTCCTAAAACTCTAGAATCAATCTATTTGCAAAAGCTATCAAGATAGCCCCCCAAGGGTCCTTGGTTTAGAAAAGTGGCTGAAATCTGAAGACTGCTGCAAAGAGCAGAGTTCATGATAGAACTCCTGGTGGAGAGGAGAGCTGTTTATATAAGGTTGAAATCATCAGGCAGTTTCCCACTTTCTTCTCTTCATTCATCCATTCATTCAATCACTTGCTTGCTAAGTCATTGGTCTATTCCTTTATCCAGCAAATTTATTAGATACTTGCTATGTGCCAGACACAGTTCTAAACAGTGAGGTACAGAGACTTAAAAAAAAAAAATCAAAGAGCTGAAGAAATAGCATAGGGCTTAAAGTATTTACCTTTGCATGTGACCAACTCTGGCATGATTCCAGCACCCCATAGGGTGCCCAAGTACTGCCAGGAGTGATTCCCGAGCACAGAACCAGGCGTAAGCCCTGAGCTTCGCTGGTTGTGTTCTCCCCCACCCTACCCCCCCAAATAAAAAGCAAAAAGAAAAGCAAAGATGAAAACAAGGCCGTTCTCATGTTAAAGGAGCTTTCACAGGTAGGATACCACCTTTTATTTTCTACCCCAAAGGAAGAAGTGTTCATTCATCATTATCCAGTAAAGGAATCGAGCTGCTCAGAGTGAACCTGGAGTATGAGTCACTGCATCTTCTTTAGGTTCACAATGAAGCTGCAAACACATGTGCTGACCAGTGCAATCCTCAAGTCCAGGACACTTTCAATCCTATTCTTGTGGTGGGAGGGATGGGGCTGGACAGAGAGGCGTGACATACTGGAGATCATAACCAGGTCATATGTGCTACAGTTAAGCCACATCTCAAAGGGAAGTGGAAGAAATTAAAACAAAATGCAAAGAACTTTCTGATCCAGAGTGCAAGGCCCAGAAAGCAGCTTGTGTGTTCACTGGTTCAAATTATTTTTAAAATGCATGCTGTGGAAATGTGAAAAAAAAAATTCAGGATGCAAATGCAAAGTGTACAGAAGAGTCCCTATTTGGTAAAAAGGGATGTATTTATACACATGCACATATGTATGGAGAAAATACTGGCAAGATGTGCAATTAAATCTCAGGAGAGTGGGTTTATAGGAGGATTTTTTATGTTTTTGTTGTTTTTCTTCACTCTCTAAATCTTCCATACTGAGTGTACATTAGTTCTAATTATTCAAACATAAGTTTTAAACAACCAATGTTTAGTTATTGCTATCAATTCTGTACTGGAATTTACTTCATCTTCAAAAAAGAAGGAAACAAATTCCTTTCTTAAGAAATCTTAAGAAAGCTGCTACTCAATCCCACTGAATTCTTAGCAACAATCTCAAATGTATTTTCATTTTATAAATGAGTCTCAGGAAGGTTTTTTTTCAAAAAGAAAGAAATAAAAAGAAAAACAAACCAAATCGTTAAGTCTAGTTCAGGGATCAGGGCTGCTTCCCTGTTATGGTAATTAAACTTTGGAACATTAAGACAAGGTCTGGGAGAGATGATTAGATAGATGGTATATCTCTATTCATTTTCCTCCCAGCCTATAAAAAAAAAAAAGAAAGAAAGAAAGACAGAATTCCAGAAGAGTTAAAACACAAAGGTGGTCAGGGCAGAGCAGCTCTAGAAAATGTGTCCTGATTGCCCAGAGTGAGGGCGAGGGTCTTAACCAAGTCCTCATATTGCCAAGGAGTCACAGTAGAGGCCAGGGTTTGTATGAGGACGCCGGCTTTCTGGGACTGATTAACTGGCAAACTTAATTTTATGGGAGTTGTGGGAGTGCTTGGGAATCACCAGGACCACACTAACATGTGCTGGAGGGTGAAAGTGGGCATGGGGTGCCAGGGAATCACACCCCGCACTGTCCACCACCTTAACCACATCTCTGATCCCTTGCTCGGGGGGAAGTTAGATCACTTCTTTAGATCTAAAGGAATCTCTCAAAAGACCGACCTCTCTGTGTCCCATTTCTGTAAATCAGGAACAGTGGCTCTTTATTGTATTGTTTTGTGTAGAAGCCACACCCAGCAGGACCAGAGGCCACCAGAACCGTACCTGGTGTGTTGGGGTGGAGCCCTGTGGTGCTGGAGATAGAACTCAGGGCTTCACCCGTTTGGTATGTGCTCTACCACTTGAGCTATCTTCCCTAAACAGAAATGTGGTTTTTACTTCCTTGAGTGATTCTGAAGATAAAACTAGAAACGAGCATGAGCTATTCTGCAGAGGGCCTGGTCTAGAAAAGTGTTCCACAAATGTTAGCCGTTCTCCACAAGCCCAATGCTTCCTCCCGGCTTACTCCGTTCTTTCTCCTCACTACCCACCAGCCTTACGGGAATCTGTCAATGCCTCTCTTATTCCAACTGCCCCAAGCACACGCTCAACTCACCCACATAGAGATGTAAATATTGTCTAAGGGGCCTCTGTTTGCAAGAAGGCCCAGGAAAATACTAGGTCTTTCTTTGCTAGAGAAACTTACTTTGCTTCTTTCTTGCAGAATCCCTCTGCCCCCCCCCCCGCCGCAACCCCCCACACCTGCCCCCCTACCCCCCACCTCAAAGGTAAGGGATCATTGGTTGAAATGTTTGCTTGAGGACTGCGAATTAAAATTTATGTTCCTGAACCCACCAAAACAATTTTCTCTTGAATTATTTTGTTTAAAATATTAATGCAGAGCACCTTGGGGGACGAAAGTGCTTCTTACTTGTTCATAGATGCTACAAAGGGTTTCCTCTTACAAGCTATGGAAGGAGAGGGTGGTGACAGGGAGCAAAAGGAAAAAGTGCAGAGGGAGTTGGTTTGGGGTGGGAAGCAATAAAGCAGAGCCATGAAAGAGACACCATTTATTCACAAATTGTCTGGCTCATGGTCAGTTGACTAAGATCTGACTGCTGGGGGAATAGGTCATTGTATCACTTAGCTCTAGTAAGTTCCCGTTCCCCCCTCACCCCAAAAAAAGGGAAGAAACAAGTTTGGCTGGCTGAAAGACAGTTCACCTAAGTTTGGGATTCTCTCTTTTCACCTAGACTAGGATGGGTGGGAGAGAAATGCTTGGGCTGGAGCTGGCGTTTTCCCCAGGATGCTTCTACATGCTGGCTGCTTGGCTATTGATGGTCGGGCTAGACAGAGTCCTGACTGAGTGGATACAGCTGGGATTGAGAACCGGAATTGCAAAGAGATTTCAGAATGCTCTGGGCTTTCTGAAACCCATTCCTTGGGTGTCCTCAAGGTGTGGCTTGGCTGCTGTCTATCCTTGCTCCGTGGGCCTACCCACAGCTCTCTGGCTTCATGAAAGACTTTCCTTGGCTGTAGTTTGTTTCATTCCAGTAAGTGGCATCAGGGGGATTCCTGAATTTTCTCCACAGACCATCTTCCTTGATGGGCTCTCAACTAGATGCACAAAGCCCACCCAGAGCCACTACAAGGCACCCTGATGGCAGCAGCAAAGGGCTTTGTGCTTGACAGAGCACTACCCCGTGGGACCTAAATCAGTCCCCAGGACAACCTGTGAGGTGTGATTTCCTGGTATCATTTGTATAACACTGGGAGGGGGACGAAAGAAGAGACTGAACCCAATCACCCAGAAAGTGAAGTGTTGAGTACTACTGAAGCTACCAAGCATAAAATGTGAAGTAAATGATATGAAATATAATACGACTAGATCAATGTTCCCCCATTTCTCATGAAGTTCGGTGACATTTCTACTGTGGGCAAGCTAAGGATAATTTGAGGGAAACAGCATATTATTTATACACCCCCGTGTGCTTTTTCTTCTGGGACTGGTAGGATGTCTGTTTGTCATTCACTTGCTCACTCATTTATTCCTTGACCTCTGGGAGTAGCCTGAGTGAATGGGAAAGGAGCCCACAGAGCTTAGAGGGGAGTTGGTAAGAGCAAGGATTCCAAAGTAGCTTAGGACACCAGGATGGCTGGCAGGGGCCTCCTGGAGTCCTGGAGCACATCCAGATGCTGCTAAGGAGGGTGGGGAAATTTTCTTCTGCTGTAGGGGAGGGATTTTCTTCTGCTGTTCTGCCGGAGATGGGAATCTGAATCCAGGGTCTAAGGCTATATTTTGCAACTGGGTTGCTGGTGGGGAGTTGTTGAACAATATTTCTATTGTTCTGGACAAGGCACAGTACTAACATATTCTGCGGTTTGAAATTAATTCACTGAATGAAAATCTCCCTTATTTCTTGTCATCTCTGGGCAACTGGGGAAGTTGGACCCTGAACTTAGTACCGAGTTTGAATTCCTGACAGCTGGGTGACTCTGAGAGACTTTAACTCTTTAAGCCTCCATGTTCTCATCTGTCAATTGGGGATAATAAATGCAGCTATCTTGAAGATTATGTGTAATAATGCTGAATAGTGGTGAACAATCAAACATAAAAGCTGGCATTCATAAAAACACTACCACCCAAAATATCATTTCAAGTAGCTTAAGATGAGAAACAGACTAGATGAAATTTTCCAGAAACCATTTCTGTCCATTTTATAATTACCCCGGCAAGATGAAAGATCACTCTAATTCTTCAGTTTTGTGATGTACTTACCTTTCCAGAGCTTGCTGAGATTTAGGTGTTCTTCCTCCACTCTGGGGTGATGAATGAATTTTTAAATCTTTTTTTTGAAAAACCCACAGCTTTTATATAAGTCATAATAAATAGTTTCAGCATTAGTATTATTGCAGTCTCCAAATGAAACATTTGGCATTTCTGCTTTTTGAAGCAGAAGGGAAAAGCAGAGGCGACTCTGCTAGCACTGGCAGTGACCACGGTCTCTGGAACTGTGCACACAGTTTCACAGACCTCGAGTCATGTCCTGTGATGCCCAAAAACGTGATGCTTGTGACTGCGGGTTCTGGGGCATACAGATACGTTTTGCCAAATACGATTTCACATATTGGCGTGGACAAATGCTCACTGAGAGACTTAACCCAAAGGACACAGTAAAGAATGTGCATTAGATCACCTAACCACATGCCTAGAGAAAGAAACCCATGGGGACCATTCGGGTATGAAAGATCTATGAATACACTGGATTAAGATGCTCTGAAAACCAAACCAAACCACTGTTTTGTTTTGTTTCGTTTTAAGAACAGAAACAGCAGAACAGATTCTTCTAGAAACCCCATGGTCTGTTGTTGTTTTAGGACCAAGTGAAGCTATTTGGGAATCAATATTTAAACGTTTTTGTGAAGCAAGCCATATGTCAAGTACAATAGGACAAAAGAAGTAGCGTTATGAAAAAGGAAAGTAGAATATCTGTTTGTGATGTTACTTCAGGGGCTTTTTAACCTCCAGGCAACCTTTTTTCTCTTCCATTTGATGTGATTCTTTCTATTCTGTTGTCAGTTGCACTAGAGCAGGTAAATGACCAGTGATTCTGGTTATTATTTTATAGCCATATTGCATGTCTTCCCCTGTAAGTACCTATTCCTTTTATGGTTATTAAAATAAGAGAATCTGGGTTGGACAGATAATACAGGGTTAAAGTGCTTACCTTGCACACAGCCAACCCTAGCTCAGTCCCTGACACTGCATTTGGTCCCCTTGGCGCCACAAAGGGTGAGTCCTAAGCACAGAGCGAGGAGTAGCTCCTGAGCACCACCTAGTGTGGTCCCAAGCCCCAAATAAATAAATAAACAAACAAATGAAGCAAAACAAACACACCTTATGGCCTGGAGAGATAGCACAGCAGAAATGGCACTTACCTGGCACCTGTCTGACTGGGGTTTAATCCCCATCATCCAATATGGTCCCCCAGCATCACCAGAAATGATCCCTGAGCACAGAGTCTGGAGTAACCCCTGAGCATCACCGGGTGTGGCCCAAAAACCAAAATACAAAAAAAAACAAACAAACAACTACAAACCTACCTTATATGCCTCAGGAAAGACTCTAAAACATTTTTTTGTCTTAAATAGCACTTCTAATAAAGGGCTAAAGCCAAAATATTTAGTCTAGGACCGTATAATGTTTATTTGTGCAATAAATATATAATAGGATGATTTCACTGTATCACTGTCATCCCGTAACTGTCAAATTACTTGAGCGCACGCCAGTAACGTCTCTATTCCTCCCATCCCTGAGATTTTAGCAGCCTCTTCTTACTCGTCTTTTCCCAATGATTGGAGTCTCTTTCAGGGTCAGGGGAATGAGACCTATTGTCATGACTGTATTTGGCATATTGAATACACCACTGAGAGCTCGCCAGGATCTGCCGGTGCAGGTGGGATACTCTTGGTAGCTTGCCGAGCTCTCCTAGAGGCATAAATGGGTAAGAAGTGTCTTATAACGTGTTGCGATACTGAGAAGTGGTCCAGAAAGCGGCCTGGAGAGTGGCGGTGGTTGGGAAGTAGAGACCGGCTGCCGGGCTGGGTCCCTTGGTATGGAGAGGGCTCTCACTCGTTCTACAGCCTGATAGGATGGTATCAATAATAATATGTATTTAAAATGTAAACACATTGGGGTACTAAGCACACAAATTTTAGAGACATGCCTTATGGTTCTCTCGCTAAATGAATGCCAGGACTCCTGTATGCAAAGTCTGTATT